CCCGCCACAACGCCCGGCTATTTTTTGGTTGCAGCCGTCGTTACTGTTTTTGGTGGGCCCAAGCTGGATTCGAACCTGCCAGCTTAGGTGTATGTGACTGATGCCTTAGTTGCTTGAGCCACAGGCGCCAAGCCATTTTATTTTGTTTTTGAGACAGAGTCTCACTATGTTGTCTTGGTAGAAGGCCATGGCGTCACAGCTCACAGCAACCTCAAACTCTCAGGCTTAAGGGATTCTCTTGCCTCAGCCTCCCAAGTAGTTGGGATACAGGTGCCCACCACAATGCTGGATATTTTTTTGTTGCAGTTGTCGTTGTTTAGCTGGCCTAGGCTGAATTCGAAACCACCAGCCTCGGTGCATGTGGCTGGCGATGTAACCATGGTGCTATGGGTGCCGAGCCCAAAAAAATAATAATTTTAAGTGGGCAATGATAGAGCCTGAGGGGATGCCCATCAAACTGTGGACCTCTTTCACATTTGTTTTATATAATTTTACATGGTCTGAATGCACACCAGAATGAATATGTATAGTTTTATGAAAAGTCCATACCTTTTGAATCAGTAATACCACCTGTAGAAATTAATCCTGAGGAAAGGATTCAAAAGAAAAATGCAAAGCAGGGAGGCACCTATGGCTCAGTGAGTAGGGCATTGGCCTCATATACCAAGGGTGGTGGGTTCAAACCCAGCCCCAGACAAACTACAACAAAAAATAGCCAGGCATTGCGGCAGGTGCCTGTAGTCCCAGCTACTTGGGAGGCTGAGGCAAGAGAATTGCCTTAAGCTGTGACGCCACAGCACTCTACCAAGGATGACATAGTGAGAATCTGTCTCAAAACAAAAACAAACAAACAAACAAAAAAACAAAATGTAAAGCATACCAATAAGAGGTCTACTGTGATTTTATCAAAAATATCCTCAAACAGCTGGGTATGGTGATTCACACCTGTAATCCCAGAACTTTGGGAGCCTGGAGTGGGAAGATTGCCTGAGGACAGGAGCTTCAGCCTAGCCTGAGCACCCATAGCAAGACCCCCATTTCTACAAAATACAAAATAAAATTAGGTGGAGATGATGACACATGCCAAAAGGCCCAGCTACTCGGGAGGCTAAGGTAGGAGGATAGACTGAGTCCTGAAGTTTGAGGGTGCGGTGAACTGCATGACTCCACTGCATGGTAGCCCTGGCAACAGAGTGAAATGCTGTCTTTAAAAAAAAAAAATAAGGCCAGGCGCAGCGGCTCACACTTGTAATCCTAGTACTCTGGGAGGCCAAGGCAGGTGGATAGCTTGAGCTCACGAGTTCCAGACTAGCCTGAGTAAAACCAAGACCCCATCCCTACTAAAAATAGAAAAACTGAGGCAAGAGGATCACTTGAGCCCAAGAGTTGGAGGTTGTTGCGAGCTATGATGCCATGGCATTCTACCCAGGGCAACAGCTTGAGACTCAGTCTCAAAACAAACAAACAAACAAAAAAAATTAGTAAACAAAACAAAAAACCTAAAACAAAATAGGAAACAATAGAAGTGTTTAATAAGGAAAGCATCAATGAATGATGGCCTAACCACTTAATGGATCAATTTAAAACCATTAAAATAATGATGAAGACCATGTAGCAATATGGGAGACCATTTACATGTAAGTGAAAGTCAGCAAAATACAAATTAGTACATACACCATAATTAGAACTGAAAAATGTACATGTAAAATTCTATAAGAGGATTTCACCCCTTTCTTCCACATTTTCCAGATGGAATCAGTCACCAAGTCTTGTCGATCCCACACTTCTAACACCTCTCACAGATCATATCACCGTCTTACCTCAGCTTTTCTCATCATTCTTTATTTCAGCCACCCCTATCTGGTCTTCCTATATCCAGACACATTCCTTTCAGGCAGTCAGCCACAAAATGTGATTTTCAAAAGAGAACAAGAACAACAAAATCCCACTATTTGCCTGATTAAAGTTTTTGAGTTTGCCCAATGTACTAGATAAAGACCAACTACCTTGGCTTGGCACATGAGACTCTCCATGAGTTTCTTCCTCTTTTTTAAGATCCAGCTACTCATTCAATATTCCTTCTCCAACAGCAGCCAAACTGAACCCCTGAAAGTTCTTAAACATGCCATTGTGGTTCCCACCTACATGTCTTTGTGTATGCTGTTCCCTCCAACTGGAATTGTATACACCTAAGCATCCTCAATCCTTACTCAGGCACGGTATTCTTGGAAAAGCCTGCCTTTACCAACCCTGCTTTACAGACTTTTGGATACTTCATCTGTATCTGGTGTTCTACTTCACACGTTGAAAGATATTTACTTCTATTCACATCCATATCCTTGCTAGACTATGAGCAGCTTATGGGAAGGGTCTGTCTCACAGAGCTCTGTATTCCCCATGCCTGGTATGTATTAGCTGCTCAATAATGGGTACATGGATGAGACAGTCATAGATGACTGTCCCCCTAAAATAATATTTGATGTTGTTACTTTCTTTCTAATCATTATAAAAAGGAAAAATGTTCTTTGCAGAAGGTATTAACAAGCTGATCCTAAAATTCATCTGGAAACTCAAGAGAATTGGAATAGCCCAAATAATCCTGAAAAAGAAGAACAAGGTTGGAGGGCTTAAATTTTCTGACTTCAAAATTTACTACAAAGCTATAGCAATCAAAACAGTGTGGTACTAGCATAAGAACAGACCTCTAGATCAATGGAATAGAACCAAGAGTCCAAAAACAAACTGATGCATCTATGGTCAATTGATTTTCAGTAAGGTGCCAAGATCATTCAATGGGGAAAGAACAGTCTTTTCAATAAAAGGTGCTAGGACAACTGGCTAGCCACATGCAAAAAAATGAAGTTGGACCCCAACCTTTTTTTTTTTTTCTTTTTGAGACAGAGCCTCAAGCTGTCACCCTGGGCAGAGTGCTATGGCATCACAGCTCACAGCAACCTCCAATTCCTGGGCTCAAGAGAGTCTCCTGCCTCTGCCTCCCAGGTAGCTGGGACCACAGGCGCCCACCACAGGCGCCCACCACAACGCCTGGCTATTTTTTGGTTGCAGCTGTCATTGTTGTTTGGTGGGCCCAGGCTGGATTCAAACTCGCCACCTTAGGTGTATGTGGCTGGTGCCTTAGCCACTTGAGCCACAGGTGCCAAGCCTGGACCCTATCCTTATACCACACACAAGATGTAACTAAAAATGGATTATAGACCTAAATATAAAAGCTAAAACTATAAAACTATTAGAAGAAAATACCGAGGTAAAGCACTGTGACCTTAGGTTAGGCAAAGTCTTCTAGCCAAGGCAGGTGGACTGCCTGAGCTCACAGATTCAAGACCAGCCTAAGCCAGAGTGAGACCTTAACTCTAAAAGCAGCTGGGTAGCTGGGCATTGTAGCAGGCGCCTGTAGTCCCAACTACTGGGGAGGCTGAGGCAAGAGAACTGCTTAAGCCCAAGAGTTTGAGGTTGCTGTGAGCTATGATGCCACAGCAGTCTACCAAGGGCAACAAAGTGAGACTGTCTACAAAAAAAAAAAAAAGAAAGAAAGAAAGAAACAAAACAAAAAGATAAATTAAAATTAAAAATTAGGATGGCACCTGTGGCTCAAAGGAGTAGGGTGCTGGCCCCATATACCAGACTGCAAAAAAAAAAAAAGATAAAATTAAAAATTAAAAAAATTTATGCTTCAAAGAATATCATCAGCAAACTAAAAAGACAGCTCACAAAAATGAGAGAAAAGATCTCTATCACATATCTGGACAACATAAAAATTTGTATAATTCAATAATTAAAAGACAAATTACCCAATCTTAAAAATGAGCAAAGACTGAATATATATTCCTCCAAGAAATAAAAATGGCCAATAAGCACATAAAAAAAAATTATCTATCTTCCTAGCCATCAGGAAAATGCAAATCAGAATTGCAGTAAGATATAAAACTTCACACTGACTAGAATGGCTATAATAAAAAAGACAGATAATAACAAGTGTTGGTGAGAATGGGAACAAATGGGAAACCTCATTCTGGTGGGAATAAAATGGTATAACTGCTTTCAAAAACTGTTGGCAGGCTCAGTGTCTATAGCTCAGTGGCTAGGGCGTCTGCATACACGGAGCTGGTGGGTTCGAATCCAGCCCAGGCCTGTCAAACAACAATGACAAATACAACCAAAAAATAACTGGGCATGTGGAGGGCACCTGTAGTCCCAGCTACTTGGGAGGCTGAGGCAAGAGAATCTCTTGAACCCAAGATTTTGAGGTTGCTGTGAGCTATGATGCCATTGCACTCTACCAAGGGCAACATAGTGAGACTCTGTCCCCCTCCCCCCAAAAAAAGAAAAAGAAAATTGTTGGAAGTTCCTTAAAAGATTAAAATATAGAGTTATATATTCTATTCTTAAGTATATTCTCAAGAGAAATTAAAGTATGCCCATGCAAAAACTTACCAAGTGGTCATAGCACCATCATTCATGATAGTGAAAAAGTGAAAAGAACTCAAATGTTGAATGATAAACGGATAAATAAAAATGGGAATATTCATATGATGAGTGTTATTCAGCAATAAAAAGATAAAACACTGATACATGCTACAACAAGGATGAACCTTAGAAACATCATAGAAGACCAGATATTGTATGAAATGTCTAGAAGAGGCAAACCTACAGAGACAGAAAGTAGATTAGTGGTTGCCTAGGACTAGGAGATTTGTGGGGGAAGGGGAACGACTGCTAATGGGTACAGAGTTTCTTTTGGGGGTGATGAAATGCTCTAAAATTGATTGTGGTAATGGTTGTACACTTTTGTGGATGTGCCAAAAGCCATTCATTCATTCATTCATTCATTTTTAGAGTCACGGTGTCACTCTGTCTCCCAGGCTGGAGTGTGGTGGTGTGATCATAGCTCACTGCAGCCTCAAATTCCTGTGCTCAATTGATCTTCCTGCCTTAGCCTCCCAAGTAGTTAGAATTACAGGTGTGTGCCACCACACCTGCTAATTTTTAAATTTTGTGTACAGAAATAAGGTCTCACTTTGTTGCTCAGGACTCAATTCCTGGACTCAAGTGATCTTCTCACCCCCGCCTCCCAAACTGCTGCGATTACAAACATGAGCCATCACACCTGGTCTATTCATACACTTTAAATGAGTGAATTGTATAGTATGCAAATCATATCTCAATAAGACTGATATATACTTTTTAAAAAGTAAAACAAATTTAAAAAAATTACCCCAAGTCTGTATATATCAGACACTTTCTTTATTCTGTTCTTTGTTCACATACATGTACACCTGAACATACACATAACCCTCTACACACATATACATATATGACTCCTAGGAAACTCTTAGAAAGATAGTATTGGAAAAGACCTCAGAAATCAGAAAATTCCATCTTTATCTCCTGCCTCCTCATCTCCCAAATTTCAGATAAGGAATCTGAGGCCAAATGTCACACAAGGATTAAAGGTACACATTGACTCTCTTCTCTCTCATGTACACACTTGTCATTTTCCCAGACTATAAGCTCTTTCTAAATTGATGGTGTCTAAATTTTTCTCTATCCTCTGTAGCACAGAGAGCTATGTCAAGCACACAGCAGGCACTTAAGACAATAGTTTGATTGAATGTAACACGTATATCAGATATCCCTGAGGAAAAAGAAGGTGCCTCTAAGAGGAGATAACCACAGGGATGAGAAAGAACACCTAGTCCAACTCATTACACCTCCAAGCACAGACTCAAGGAAATTCAGAACTGGAAAGAGAGAGGGAAAACACTTATAGAGAACCCTCACTGTGGGCAGCATGTTCACTGCAACTACCTAGTCCTTATTACAGCAGAAGTGACCAAGACCCAGGGATATGTCCCAAGGTTTCCAGGTTGGTGAGGTCAGAGGCAGGGCATAGCCCTGAGCGTTCTGATGCCCCACACCACATTTCTCCCCCATCTCACCTTTCAGTCCAATCTGACTACCCAGGATCTTGGTTTGGAATGTCTGGGTCTTGTTCCTGTCTGGACCATCTCCAAAGTGCAAAGTGGTCAGTAAACCCACGATGTGAGACCCTTGCCATTTCCCTGTGACTGTCCCATTCACAGGGCACAGGGACAGCTGACCAAAAGATCTCAAAAAGGAGACCCAGTCCTGTGTGCAAAAGGAGGGTGGGAGAGAGGTTGAGATCAGATTAGCAGCAAGAGCTGGTCTACACAGGAAGGATGAGCAGGAGGGCACTTACCTGAGGGATGTCAGGGCTGCGCAGGCCAGTCCTGTGTGTGAGGAGGAAGCTGCCAAGGCCCAGGCCAGAGAGGCCAAGCAGCAGCAGGATCAAGGTGGCACAGACCAGAGGTGGGTGGTGGGCCAGACAGAGATGCAGGTTGTGCCCTGCCTGGCAGTTGCCCATGAGGAGCAGAGGGGTCTGGGCCTCCACGGAGAGCCTGCTGGAGGACAAGGAGGGAGAACTGGACAAGAGCCTGCTGGTGAGAAGGCACTCACCAATTTTATGGAAAGGGAAGCTAAAGCTCTGAGAAGACAAAGGACTTGTCTAAGACCACACAGTTAGTGGCAGAACCAGGACAAGAATCTAAACTTCTTGACTCCAAAAGTCCGTCTCCCTGCACCACTTGATAAACATTTGTTGCATTTCATTTCTGAATGAATCCAATCGGAAGTAGAGCAGAGTACTCTGGGCTGGAAAAAGGAACCCGAAAAGGAGAATTCTCGGCTGGAGAAATAGGAAGCAGCTGTTCTAGGGCTAGGGCTTAGCTGAAGATCAGTTCCAGCCAGAGCCCAGACAAGGGGAGTGTCTGAAGAACTCAGCTGCAGAGCTAGAAGGCTATATAAACCCCTCTGCTACTCACTATGTAAGACCAACTCAGTTAACCTCTCTGTGAGTTTAAGAATCTGTGAAATGGTAGTTCTAAGAACACCAAGTAATGAGGATTAAATGTGGCAGATAAAGCAGTCTGTATGGTACTTGGCGGTGCAGGAACTCAACAAATGTCCATTTGCTTTTCCGTTCTCTGTCTCATAACGATTCTCAAGACCAGATGGGGCCAGGCAAAAACACTGTGGGGGAAACTGAGGCTCACAAGACTTCAACATAGCAGCGGCAGAACTTAGCTCTGAAATCCTTCTCCTGCTTCCAAGTGGGTGCTCTTTCCCACGTAAGAAGCAACAGTCTGATAAAAAGAGTATCTGGAGGGCGAGGAGGTAAACAGAGGGTAGGGGAAGGAGGGAGCCACAGAAATGGAGGTGTCACAACTGCTCAGCTCCCTGCCTGCCTCCCGTCCAGGCACTTCTGGAAGGGGGGGAGGAGGGAGTAGGGCAGAGCCGGAGGGTAGGCTCTTGGTGGTGCACCTGAGCCACCCCTGCCCGCCCCAAAATCTTGCCCCCAGCAAAAGATCGCAGCACCCTCATCCCTTCCCTGTCTAGCTAGTCGGGTCCTCCCGCAGCTCTCACCGCTTCGAGCCGGGCGGAGGCCGGCGCCCCCAGCGACGTCAAGCGTGGAGCCGCGAAGGGGCGGGGTCCGTGCTCCGGGTTTCCCTTTCCCCCTCACCCATTCCCTCCCCCGCTGCGGGGTCCGCATGCGCAATGGCTACGCGGTTCCCGCCTCGCCCCTTCCAGCGGGTTGGGGGTGTACCAAAACGAAATCCAGCCAGGGGACTGAGGGGGACGAAGTAACTCCACTGGAGGTGAGGAAAAGGGATCCCGGCAAGGCCGCTAATGCTAGAGACGTTGCAGAGATCTGAAATCTCCTCCCAGATAGATCGTGGGGGAATTTCAACGAGAATCTTGTTGCAGGCATTTTTCTATTGCTCGTCCCCCCACCCGCCCCGATAGCATAGCCCAGCCACGTCCAGGTTCCGGGTAAGGATTTGGGGTGCGCTCAGAGAGGAAGAGGTACCGCTTTAGGACTCTGTTCTTCCGGACTGGAGGTGGTGTTTGGGCTCCACTCTTCTGCGCACCCCAGTAATACCTAATGTCTACATCTCACCCATGGCCTGGGTTTTAGCGACTTCTTAATGCGTAAGAGCTTAGATTTGCAAGGCTGCTCAATAGTCATGTCATTTCGTCTCTGCCTACATTTTAGAGATGAGAACTTCTTATCTGAAGTAGTACAATACCTGCAGCCAGGTACTCTGGGTTCAAATCTTGTCTGTGTCCGCCCCCCAGCATCAGCCATAACCATAAGACTAAGTTCACTCCTCTGCTGAAGGGGATTGTCCTACCTATCTCACTGGTTGGATAGGAAGCTTAAGAGGCAAAGTGTGGGAAACTACAGGCCTAGGGCACAGTGAGCACACACCAGCACCGGGCAAGTGCTGTTCGAAAAGGAATCTTTGAGTATTTATCTCGACCGTGGCTTCTTTAAGGGAGAGACTGTCACCATCTGCAAAAGTTGGTGACCATCATGTAAACGGTCAAATGATTTTTGACAAGCGTGCCATGACCATTACTGAGGGGAAAGACAGTCTTCTTTGTGCATCAAAGGACAGTATTAGGCTGGGTGCAGTGGCTCACGCCTGTAATCCTAGCATTTTGGGAGGCGTGGGTGGATGGATTGTTTGAGCTCACCAGTTGGAGACCAGCTTGAGCAAGAGCGAGACCTCAGTCTGTAAAATAATAGCCCGGTGCACGCTTGTAGTCTCAGCTATTGGGGGGGGGGGGCAAGGCAAGAGAATCACTTAATCCCAAAGGTTTGAGGTTGCTGTGAGCTAAGACACCATGGCACTCTACCTAGGGTGAAAGAGTAAGACTCTGTCTCCAAACAAACAAACAAAAAAACCACCAAAACTATCAACAGAGTGAAAAGGCAACCCATAGGATGAGAGGAAATATTTGAAATTTTATCACTGATAAGGGGTAAATATTTAGAATATATAAACTCTTACAACTCTACAACAAAAAACCAAGCCACCCAGTTAAAAAATGGTCAAAGGAATTGAGTAGACGTTTCTTTAAAGAAGATAATACTGTACAAATGACCAATAAGCACACAAAAAGATGCTTAACATCACTTATTATTAGGGAAATGCAAATCAAAACCACAGTGAGGCCTCGGCGCCTGTAGCACAGTGGTTATGGGCGCCAGCCACATACATCGAGGCTGGCAGATTCAAACCCAGCCCCACACAGTTAAAACAAGGACAACTGCAACAAATAAATAGCTGGGCGCTGTGGCCACCGCCTGTAGTCCCAGCTACTTGGGAGGCTGAGGCAAGAGAATCACTTAAGCCCAAGAACTGGAGATTGCTGTGAGCTGTGATGCCTCAGCACTCTACCCAGGGCGACATAGTGAGACTGTCTAAAACAGACAAACAAACAAACAAAAAAACTCACAGTGAGATACCACCATTAGGATGGCTGCTAGCAAAAAAAAAAAAAAAAGAAAGAAAGAAAAAAACAGTTTTGATGAGAATATGGAGAAATCAAAACCCTTGTACATACATTGTGGGTGGGAATACAAAATGGTACACCTACTGTGTTTCCCCCAAAATAAGCCCTAGCGGGATTTCTATGCATTTGTTAAATATAAGCCCTACACGGATAATAAGACCTAGTGATGGGCATTTTGCATTTTGGCGCAAAGTGGTAAGGAAGACTGGAATACCTTTTGTCTGCCACAGCTCCTTTCTGGGACCTGTTAGCACTTGCGGGAGCCAGGTCGCAGGCATCCTATTGCAAATGGCTAGGAGAAAGGAGTTAACACATCACTCTTGCCCCTGTCAGGTTCCAGAAGAATATGACTTAACTGTATTTGAATAAATGTAGATTGTCGTATTATACTTAATAAAAATAAGACATCTCCTGAAAATAAGCCCTAGTGTGTCCTCTTGAGAAAAAATAAATATAAGACAGTGTCTTATTTTGGGGGAAACACAGTACTATGGAAAACAGTATGGCAGTTTAAAAAAAAAAATAGGATTGCCATATGATTCAGCAATTCTGGGTGTCTTGTATACCCAAAATAATTGAAAGCAAGATCTTGAAGAGATATTTGTGCACCCGTTTCCATAGCAGCATTATTCACAGGAGCCAAAAGGTGGAAGCAACGCAAGTGTCCGCCAGTAGATGAATAGACAAAATGTATATTTTTCAGCCTTACAAAGGAAGGAAATTTTGACACATGCTACAACATGGATGAACCTTGAGGACATTATGCTTAGTGAAATAAGCAATCAAATAATGACAAATTCAGTATGATTCCTTATATATGAGGTACCTAGAACAGTCACATTCATAGTAGAATGGTGGTTACCAGGGGCTAGGGAGAGGGAAGAATGGGGAATTTTAGCAGGTTATGGTCCCTACTATTAGGCTGAGGAGGGAGGATTGCTTAAGCTATACACTTAAAATGGTTAAGATGGTAAATTCAATATTATGTGCATTTTGTTACAATTCATAATTAGCCCAGGGATAATAATCCCAGCACTTTAAGAGGCTGAGCCTAGAGGATTGCTTGAGCCCAGGAGTCTAAGACTGCAGTAAACCATGATTACAGCACTGTGGTCCAACCTCAGTGACAGAGTGAGACCCTGTCTCTTAAAAAAAAAAATTATAATAATTTTTTAAAAAAACCATAGGGGGAAAAAGTTCATGGCACAGTCTCCTAGGGTATAGTGGGTGCTTTGATTGGCTTAATTGAAATTCTAAGCATAGAAAGTATTTTCTTCTCAGGGGGGAAAATGTGGCTTATAGAGACGCTTACTAAGAAGGCACTGAGCAAGTTCAATAACACCCATTCCTTATTTTTCAGATGTTAAACAGTTTCTGGAGAGGTTAAGGGATATATCGCAAGTTAAGCCTCAGCCAGCACTTCAGCCCAACTTTCCTGGCACAGAATCCAGTCTCTTTCCTACTAAAACCTCCTTGCTTAGTCCTGCCAAAAGATCTCTCTGAAAAAAAAAAAATCTCTCCTGACCATATACAAAGATTTCTGCCCATGCACTCCCCATTCATATCCAGCCCAGCCTGGGCCAACTAGGCAACCTTTCCCTGATCTGGCCTAGGCTCCCTACCCAGGACCTCAGCTCCTGGAATAGAATGACTTATAAGCCCTGGGTCTTTTCATAGTTTAAGCATACAGTATCCACTCAATAAACATTTGTTTGTCAAGTTCCCCTGAGAACTTACCAACTTTCAATCTCATTTTATAGTTGGGAACACATCTCTTCATGCTTCAACATTTGGGAAATAAGGTAAAATATAAAACAAAGTTTATTTGGTCAAGTGCTTTCTTAATGCCTGCTATGACCTGGGCACAATATGAATATCCATGTACCAAAAAGTTTGTCAATGCTTCTACTTAATGACAAGTTTAATTTGTAGGGTAGGATAAAGCTTGGAGAAGTGTCCAGCATGGTGCTGGTACACAATAGAAGGTCAACAAATGTGAATTTTTCCTCATTATTCTTGTGCAGCAGAGTAATTAGGCATATTTGAATAGCAATTCTTATAAATGACCGTAATTGGTATTTACTTATATGGCCAAATCAAGCAATTCTATGGACTAGTGGAGGCAAATTGGTTAGAGCAAGAACTGCCTTGAGGCCTGAGAATCAGGGTGAATGGTGAAGAAATGTCTTAGAAAAGAAAAAGCGGTGGTGGGGAACAGGAGAGGATACAATTAGTTGTGTACTATAATGCTACAACACGATAGTAACATTTGGATTTAATCCACTTAACAAGACCTCAAGGTGGATGTTATTGTAGAAACCCGGTCCTTAGTTTAAATAATTTAACCAAGGTCATACAGATAGTAGGGGGCAGAAGTTGGGTTAGAACTTAAGCCTGACCACAGCCTTTCATATGAGAAGCAGAAATCCAGTTTAGGAAGAGAATCATCTAGTCCCTTAAAAGAAATTGAGGGAGGAATTCCCTGGTCATTCCATTGTGATATATTCATCTCAGCGCTCTGGTCCATATAAGGCTCTGACAGATCTGTTTGATTTTTCTCCTTCTAGAACAATGATTCTAGATTACTGTATTAAAGGGCCGTGGCATTAGGAAGGTGAGAACCACTGTTCTAGATTATTGAGTCTTAACACTTTTGGGGGTTACAGACCCTTTGAGAATCTGATGAAAGCTTTCATTCAATCAGTCAGATATTCAATAAACATCTCTTGGCTGCTGGCCTTTATTCTGTGGGCTGCATGTACATGGTGAACAAAGTATTCATGATCCCTGGTCTCCTGGAACTACAATCTTGCTATGGAACTCTCTCTCTAGAAAAATTCATGTTCACCTAGACTTGTTCATGCAGTTTCAATTAGTGGAGCCTCAGTCCTCTTGGAGTCAATCCTTAAACAAGAACCCAATAGAGATGTTAAACATCTGTACCAAAAATGGTTCTCTCTGTTCTAGCTGCTCCTTAGTTTTGTGTTTAGTTTCGTATCAAAACTACTTGATAAAATTACCCCTTCTCTCCAGCTTAATCTAAGAAGTGGATTCTAGTTGCTCAATAAGAGACATCCTAGCCTTTGGGATCAAACCAGGAATATGAACGGTAATTATTTATTTTTTATTTTATCTTAGAGACAGAGTCTCACTT